ATATTTTGCAAAAAAAAAGTGTATATATTATTTTAGAATATTATTAAAATAGTGAAAAATTCGATTAAATCTGAATAAAGATTAAAATATAATAACATTATTTTCACAAATATAATTTAAAATAAAAAACTGTAATCATTATTGTCTAAAACTATCTACTCGGTCTACATGCCATGTTCAGACCATCCATTAAATAGCCTGGCTTAAACGGGAACATATATAAAGACAGCAGCTACCAACCTGGAAGTGTTGGAGGAGCGCAAAAACCTCTTAGAAGTGCTCTGCCATAAGCTTCTTCTCCATTGGCTCCTTACCAAATCCGTCAAAGTTTTTCTTCGATCGTTTCCAGCCTCAGGTATTCGTCCTCCTCCACCCATTTTTTTCCTTTTCTATTTTTTTGCTGGAGTTTGAGAATCTGTTCACGATTTGGAGCTTCTTTCGCTTGGATGGAATTCATGTCTTTGGCTGTTCAATAGGAGGAGGTGAAAGCGGGGAGATGGCTCACAGACTGGATCATGAGTACGATTACCTCTTCAAGATCGTTCTGATAGGCGATTCCGGAGTTGGGAAATCGAACATACTCTCCAGATTTACTCGGAACGAGTTCTGCCTGGAATCGAAATCCACGATCGGTGTAGAGTTCGCCACGAGAACGCTTCAGGTATGGCGTTTTGCCAAATGTTTTTAGGTTTTTATTGATTGCTCTGTTTCTATCATTAGATTTCGTTCTACCGCGCGCTTGCGACCTTGTTGGATGTTATTCGCATTGCTATCATTTATTTATTTGCCTCTTCAATCTGTCGATCGATTGTTCCTGATTTGCAAATGGATGCTTCTGTGCCATTAGACAGCGTCTATCGTTAAATTCTTATTATCTTTTATTTAATCGTTAATGATGAGTACCTGGAAAGTGGAAATCTGGCGGAGCCAGAAATTTTTATAAGTGCGTGCAGCTATAAATTTGCTTTTTGAAAAAATTCTTCAGATTTTTTCATTCAGCTTGAAATCAGTATAAGCAGTCTAAAAAAAATTGTATGACTTTATTATTTTAAAAAATAAAAAAAAAGATTTAAAATTTTATAATTTGTAATACAT